GTGTGTGTGTCGTGTGTGTGTGTGTGTGTGTGTGTGTGTGTGTAGTGTGTGTGTGTGTGTGTGTGTGTGTCGTGTGTGTGTGTGTGTGTGTGTGTGTGTGTGTGCGTGTGTGTGTGTGTGTGTGAGAGAGAGATGTGTTGCCGGGAGCGATGACTGATGACAAGTTTCCATAAAGAGAGAACGAACAAGAAAGAGAGACAGATAGAATTTGCTCGCGCCATGCATTCTCACTCGCTGCCCCGAAACATTCTAGTCTGTTCGTGTTCTTACTGGACATCCCTTACCACTCACATGTAGACCAGCTTTTAGTTAATGCCGCATACACAGGGCAGGAGGGGGGGACTACGTAATGGTGGGTTAGGGTACCCCCTCCCCTCTTCTTTTCAGACAAGACCCTCCCCCCTAAACTAAACATTTACACAAATTTGAGCATTTAGAATTTTCCATTACATTGTTTCCCCACTTTTTTTTGTTTATTCATTTTAATTTGCTTTGGGCAGTTTTCTTTGGTACTCTTTGAAAAAGATTTCAACAAATTGACCGAAAATAGCAGGCAGTGAGCGAAGAGTTAACATTCTTCTTATAGCCTGGGGCCCGCTGTCAAAAACAAAATTAGTCCTAACGTTATTGCGTTTTACGTTATTCGTTACGCTTTTACGTTTCGTTAACTTTTTCTCGTAGTCCGGACTTCTACAATGTGACAAAATGTGGTCCGTGGTCTACGAGAACAAGTTGGCAAGACTAATTTTGCTTCTGACAACGGAGTCTTAAATTTACTATGTTACGAATTTTCTACGGTGTCTATTTGTAAAATTTTTGTTGCAATATTTTTACATGAGAAGTAAGTACTAACGGGACTAAATGTATCCTCAAATTTTTACCTGATAAGATTGTTTCTCAACTGGTTAAAAATCCAAAAAAAACCTGGGCGATTTGATATATTTATCATGACATTAAATGTTTGTTGAGTGTTTGTTCACATCGAACAGAATAGCAAAATAGGAGCAAAATATAATGCAGCAATTTAACCATAAATAGTGAACAGAATCACTTACATTTTGTGAAAAAGTGAACATAATGTTTTTAATTAACTTAGGGTAATCACGTTAAACCGCGGCTTCAGGAATTCGGGAACCGAATGGAAGTTCACCCACTGCTTTCAAAACCACCAGAAACGCCCAGATACGGATTAAAAACAACAAACATGAAAGTCATTTGTCTTCTATAAGAAAAAAACTAGGCCCAAAATCCACCGCAGAGAGCAGGAAATAAGATTTTCTCTGGGCATGGATCAGGTCAATAAATTCAAGACACTATCGCCCACGGCAGCACACACACACGCACGCACGCACGCACACACGCATGCACGTACACACACACGCACGCATGCACGCACACACACACACACACACACACACACACACACACACACACACACACACACACACACACGACACACACACACACACACACACGCATGGCACGCACCACACAACGCACGCATTGCCGCACACACACACACACACACACGCACACACACACACACACGCACACGCCCAGGCACACACACCACGCACCGCAATGCACGCACACACACCCACACGCACACGGCCACAGGCACACACACACACGCATTCACGCCACACACACACGATACACCCACACCACACCAACCCACCCCACACCACCCACCCCACACCCACCCACACCACCACCCCCACCCCCATACCCACGACACAATCCACATATCCACACGCTACAGTGCCATTCCAAACCACCTCCCTCATCACAAATCTCCAATTACTGCCCTCTAAAAGCCGCGGGCCCGTGAACGCAAACACGCACGGACCACCACGGCACGCACACACCATGCACGCACGCACGCCGCACACACACTACCCACCTACACCACGCACCCCGCACGCGGACGCACGCACGCTCACCGCACGCGCACTCCGGCCAGCGTTACAAGGGACCCACGCGGCCGTCCGACCGCGTTCGTTTGGCCACTAGTCACGCCGCCACCAACCCTAGGGAAGGTCTAATCGGGTCGCGACGACCAGGCGCGTACGGTTTTAAAAAGGAGAGGTTTTCGGTTTTAAGAGTAAACGGGGAGATGGACGCCAGACTTTACAACTTGGTACGCTGCTACACTGTTACTATTCGTGTTTAGAATAAATCTGTAAGGTGTCACCGCGTTATACAACTGTGACCTGTTCTACTGTCTACGATATGATATTCCACACTACAAAAAAAAAAATTTGGACTGGTGCTCTTTGCACATTTGGCCTGGCTACCCACTGTGCCGGATTCCCCATGTCTCTATCTTTAATGCTAACCCCACCTGTATAGGTCCACCACTCGTAGGTACGCACCCTCCAAACCTCCGGCCCACACAGCGCCGCCCGCACGCCACGCGACCCCTACACACGTACGCACGAACGCAGGCACGGCACGCACGGCACGCACGCAGCGTAGGCACGCACGCATGGCACGCACGCACGCACATACACTCGCACGCTATGCTCATATCGCACACACGCCCACACACACACACACACACACGCTACGCACGCACGCACGCACGCACGCACGCACGCACGCATGCTCATACGCACTACACACACACTACGCACGCACGCACGCACGCACGCACGCACGCGTACGATGAAGTCATTTTCATACCTTCCTCCTCATTCCATATGAGATTGGAGATGCAGAACGTGGCTGCAATCTGTAACTTTACATTCGAATGCATCTGAAACAAATAAGAACACCCCCACCCAAGCATGAAACCACACCTAGAATCTTATTTCACTCATCTTTCTGACAAAACATAAAAATCAATTGTGAAAAAAATGTAACCTGACCACAATATAAAAAATGTACGCATATATTAATACCAAATTCCATGTGATAGATTTATACGCAGTTATACTTTTATGATTATAATTATGAATTTGCTTGATCGTCTATAATAGATTATCAAGTGATCTTTGAATTCGTTAATTCTGCTTTCCGTGATGTTGTTTAATTAACTATATATAAGATTGTCGTTTATTACAACAATTTTAGTTATAATTATTATATAAGTAATTATAACATTTATATAGTTATAATTTTAGTAGTTTATAAAGATAATATAAATATATTTTTAAATATAGTTTAATAAAAGCAGCACACCAACTCCCAATTATAACCATAACGACTAAAATTATATTTCTTCTACTAAACTCATGAATGTTTGTCTACTCTACAAATTTAAACACATTAACCTTCAAGCAAAAAAAACAACAACCACATCAACGTGCGCGGGCGAACTTTACTGCCACCCGCACGGTGCTGCCATCTTTTGGCTGAGAGGAAAACTAACTCACCATGTAGCTGGTAATTTTTTTCAGCACGTCCTCATTCGACATGACGAACTCTTTAGCAGAATTTCCGTCGGCAATGTTCGCGAGTATACACAACGCCTGTAAACATCAACAACAACAAGAGTAAACAATGTGTAAATGAAGTGTGCATGTATACGCAGTAACAACGAACAGTAAAAATATCGCACCACAACTAAATTTGCCTAACAAGGATTACTCGATGGACACCACCAAATGTGTCCTTTATAGACATGTGTCCGTGCTATAGAGGTTGTCCTTTATAGACAGGTGTCAGTGCTATAGAGGTTGTCCTTTATATACAGGTGTCTGTTCTATAGAGGTTGTCCTTTATAGACAGATGTCCGTGCTATAGAGGTTGTCCTTTATAGACAGGTGTCAGTGCTATAGAGGTTGTCCTTTATATACAGGTGTCTGTTCTATAGAGGTTGTCCTTTATAGACAGATGTCCGTG